CGTTTTGAAACTTAGGACAACCTTTCCGGTTTAACCACCCTTCAGGTTTTTTCACTTGGCTTCGGCCAGTTAATAATTAAAAAACAACATGTTCGTCTTATTCTTATTCGTCTTCAACGTTTGTAACTTACCGTTTTCCTGTTAAATTTCACATCGCCTGATGATGGCAGTACGCCGAAGCTATAGTCGCTTTTATTTTTAAAAACTTCAACGAATAAAAACTATATGGGGAAGGTTTAGAGAGTTTTGATCACACAATATATTTCAACCCCCATTTCGAGGAGCGATGGATCCAAACACCAAAAAAAAAATCCATGTATTCGTTTAGGAGCCACCCTCAAAAAAGTGGTAAAGTTTCTTTTTTTCTCAGCAACAGTTACAGAGACTGGTGGTAAGTCTTTGAATAGGTTTTGCTGTATGCCCTTTCCGGTTTTGCAAATAATTTTTCAAAATTCCTACCGCAAAAGGACACACCCCTCAATAGGGGTGCGAAAAAATGTTGATTTCGACGAAATTTGGTATCTGGTGGTTTTTGAATCTGAAATTAGTTTTTGAAAATTCGAAAAAAATAATTCCACTGCAATTCTTGGCCGGACAACGAAAATTGACAAAATTCCACGAAGTTTGTTGTCTAGGTACATACTTACGGAACAAAATTATTGAACAGTTTTTCTTAAAGTCATTTTTCAAACAAAAGTTACACTCATTTGCAAATTGGTCTTTCGGGTCAGAAAATGTTCTCCGACAGTGGCATAACAAGTACAGTAAACGTCAATATTACATGTTCTGCTAAGGGTGTCTACCTACATTTCACAAAAATTTGTCAAATAAAAAATGATAATTTTATCACAGCGAGCAACTTCGACATCAATGAGGAAACAGTCACAGAATAAGAATAAGTAGGCCATATTCTGTGGAAACAGACGAAAAAAATTCAACGCACAGTCCTTTTTCAAAAGCGAGATACATCGACAGAAGAAATTCAAATTCCTCGTTTACCTATCACTAGATAACGACCAGATAACTGACTTTAACAGCCTAAGTACCTGCTGATAATCCTCCTAAGTAAGTTCCGGTATCTACCATTCAATATAATATACCTATGCCGTTTTTGAATTCTCCACCAGCGAGCTACAATACCATCCTAACCATCGAACTTGCCTTACATGGAAAAAATTTAAAAAGAAATTGTACGATTATCTAGTCAATGGGTGTTTCTACAACATACAAGAATTTTTTATATCTTCCAATATTTAATTGTTTGTTTGTTTAACTGTTCGTTTGTTTAATTAATGTTATATTGACTTGTTCCATACAAATGTTATTTGTCGAAGGAATTAAATATAAAATGAATGAATGAATCGTCTAGTGAAATCAAAAAACAAGCCTAAATCTTTGGGACAAAATCATACTGTTGTTACTGCTGATCTTGCAATATACAGCACAGCACAAGAGATACCTAATGTGGAGTAACCCCCAAAATTTACAGGGAAAGGTACCTATTTGTACCTATATATTTCACCAAAGAACTGAGATACATGGAGTTAATGAATTGTTTGAGATTTTACAATGCAACTCGGCGGAATGCATTTGTAAACGCTAAACGGCCTAAATAGCTAGTTTTGGTATTCGGAGAGAAATTTCTTAGTAAAGTAGAACCTCTTACGCATCGCTCCTTGTTGCGCGAACGCTGCTGACTATCCTTCCCTCTCCGTCTCACTCGCGACTCCCGACTTGGCGAGGTGGGTAGGTTTTTACTTAAATGACCGTAACTTTTTTATTATGAAAAATTCACCGTAATGTTATAGAAAATAAAATCATCACAATGCTTTGGAGCATCGAATGAGCTATAAATATTGGAAATCGATATCGTGAAATAAAAAGTTATGAGAGTTCAAAGTGCGCACTTTTCATCTGTTACACGAATTATGGAAGTTGACGGTCATTTTTCTAAAAACTGTCCATAACAAGGTAGGTAAATTGAATGCTTTAGATTCTGCTATAAATGTACTTTCATTTTACAAAAGGAATTATTGATGTATATCGCTTAGTTGCTGGAGAAAATAAATACTTTCGGTGGTCTAGTCGCGCGCGCGAAAATGAGTAAATTTCAACTTTAGCGGCCTATAACTTTTGTCAGGACCACGGGAAAATGTCGTAAAGCGAGATTCTGAAGGTTCAAACATTTCTGAACAAAATGGTGTGGGTCCCAATTCTTTCTACTCCGAAAAAATTTTTTGAACGATTTCGCGGCTCTCTCCGCTGCACTATTTGGAACTTGCGCCCGAGTCACTTGCGTGCAGAGTAGGACAGTTGCAGCTTTACAATGTTTTTCAAAATGTTGACGTCACTATTGTTAATAAAGGTGAGACAATTGTGCCCCACAAAAAATGGCTTTCGTTGTCCAATATTAATAAAAAACATTTCAACATTTTAACATCGACAAGAAACAGTTTCACCAACAAATTTTAATGATATTTTTGCAGGTCTAGGCCGGGAAATGATATGTTTCTGGACTCACTTCGCTATATCACCAGTTCTTTTGTGGTATTATTAACTCTGTCGTCTAATACCTATTGTTGTGTAAACAGCGACTTATTTCACTCTAAACACCAAAAATAATGACGAGACATCCTTTATATGAGAATATTGCAATTCATTAAGTGTAAATCTGGTGGATTATTTACAAAATAAGCACAGAGTTGGTTTATTGTATTTGTATTTGGGTCTCAGTGTTGTTTTTCCTTTTAGAAGTTTTGCAATTGCGTAATTCTTGTTTAAATTTTATCAAGTTTGTAAATTATTTATTTATATTTGTGTCTTTAATTGGAAAACGTGAAATTGCGTGTTAAAATGTGGGGGTAGTTAATCGTTTGCGCTAAGGAGCTTTTATCGGACGAAATTAATTAACGCCCGCGTTAGAAGAGGTAAAGTGATGTTCCCTTAAATATTGGAATCAACGTAAAAAACGAGTCGACTGCTACTGTTAGCTGTTAGTTTTGGCGATGGTAAAAACTAAAAAGAGCGTGTAAATTAGTTGTGTGGTTGAAAACGCAGTTCGTTGTTTTCATAATAAAGTGTCCAGAAGAAGTTAAGGAATCTTAATAAAAGATTGAAGTTATCGTCAAGTGAAGTCGTAAAAGTTTGTGGAGTTTTCATAACGATTCATCCGTAATCAGAGAAAGTTAGTTCAAGCGTGAGTAAAGAAAGCAACTGTTTGTTTGGCTTAGTGAAAGTTAAATGTTTCTAGCGTCTGAGCAGCCACTGAAAATGTTATCATTTTATTTATCAAGGCAGTTTGAGTCATTGAGTTCAGTCAGCTGCTTGCGAGTGTTTTGTGTTTTGGTTAGTGCACTTGAGTATCGCAAATCTTGTACGACTGGATTAGTTGGATTATTACAGAAAAAAATTGTAAGTACATAATTTAAGATTTTTTTTATTTTTAATTATCGATCGCCCGCGTGAGGGGTATTATATCCCAATAAGCTCTGTCAGCTTTTCTTTCTTGAAGGGATTTTGTTAATGTTAATGTGTTTCGCAACAAATTTTCCTCCCTTTACACACTTTTTATATCTAAAACATGCCACATGATTCAAGGATGCGTGCATTCTGTGCGCAATGCCACAAATAGTAAGAAAAATTTGAATCGTCATTTATTAATGCATGACACATCGAAAAATACCTATTGTTTATTTTGTGGTCAGTGTAACTATGCCATCTTTATCTTTACGACTGTATACTTAGGGCCAGTTGTACAATGTAGGTTTAAACTGCAGATTGAAACAAACCATAATCTTCAGTTTTAACTTCAGTTAACATTTGTTGTGTTGTACAAGTTCATTTACAGTGAAGTTTAATTTTAACAAATTTTCTGAACGCCCTAGGTATGTCTGCAACTTCATGTATGTTAATTTTAGCATTCAGGTTGGAGGTTATGTTTATGAATGGTGTATGAAACAGAGTTGTTTCTCTTGCTTGAAAATGGAATCTGAATATAAGTATGGAAAATTTAAAGAACAAGAAGTACAACTGTTAATGACCTTAGTTAATAAATATAAGGTCATTATAGAAAATAAAAAAACAGACGCAATTACATGGAAACAAAAACAAACCACATGGGAGGAAATTACTAACGAATTTAATGCCAATAATGATGTATATAGAAGTTGTAAAAATATTAAAGGTAAATATGAGAATCTAAAAAAAAATGCAAAAAAAAAATTTGCAACCGAAAAGCGAAATGTATATAAAACGGGTGGAGGTGTCGATAAACCGGTATTAATAACTGAAACAGATCAAAAAATAAAAGAAATTATTGGAATTAGTTTAGAAGGGCTAATTAATCAGTTTGATAGTGATGTAATCGAAGTAGTTAATGATGGTGCTGATGAGACAGTTGAATCGATGAAATGGTCCGGCTGGACTCCAGACAAACTGAAAACCATAAAGACTCCAGTTCTTACTGTTGCACAAGATAAGACAGTACATTGCACTGTAGTTTCTTCAGATGAATTGAATGAAATTGAAAGTATAGCTGATGATGATAACATGAATGACACCGAATTAAGTGATGTAGTCCCAATGGCCTCTAATGATCAGAGTGACACAGGTAAACCAAGTGTTCCAGTTACAACCACCACTCCGATTGCAGTAAAACGAAAATGCATAACAAGTGAGTAAACATTATAGAAAATTTATGGGTAATCCTAATCCCACACCTGTTATTTCAGATGTCAGAACAGCAAAAAAAGGGAAAAACGATTTAACAAATGATTGTCGAGAGAAGATTTGCTCTTTCACATGCTCGATTAGAATTAATTAACCTACAAATTCAGGCTCAAACTCAACAAATTAAGTTACAGCATGAGGAGCACCTTCAGAAGATAAAACATAACGAAACTGAACATCAATTACGGGCAAAATACTTGCAATTACAAATTAAAATGTTAAATAAAGAAAATCTTTTGAATATTTTAAATACCGAATAGAATCTTACAGTATTAAAATGAATGTTAATTTTTTATTTAAGTTTTCTTGTACAACAATTACAATAAATGCGAAAAATAATTGTCGATTAAGTTTGTTCGAACATTATCTCTTCCATGTCTCTCTTCGTAAACCGCCACATCCCATTCCACATTTTCTATATTTACTTCAACAGGAGGTGGATTAATAACCTTCATGTTGATTGCAATATTATGCAGCACCGCAGTTGCTACAATTATATTTAATGTTGTTGTCAGCTTTACACGCAGTCCAAGTGATAAAACTGCAAAGCGTCGTTTCCAAACACCGTATGAACGCTCGACTACGTTTCTCGTTCTAATTTGAGCCTCATTATACAAATGCTGTGCAGGTGTATTTGGGTTTAACAACGGAGTCATAAGATAATTTTCCACAGGGTACCCAGAATCTCCCACGAGAAAATAATCTTGATAATCGGTTTCCATTAGCGCCTTCAACCTACTATTTCCGAAGATAGTAGAATCATGAACTGATCCGGGCCATCGAGCTACTATGTTTTGTATTCTCAGCTCTGCATCACATACAGTTTGAACATTAATCGAAAAATATCCTTTACGATTCCGGTAACGTTCGGCATCATCACCACCTACAAATGCATTATGGAGTGCATGTTGAAAGCGGCAATAGATATAGTAGTCACCTGGAGATTGGATTCGAACATGTGTACAATCTATAGCCCCAATCACTTTGGGAAACCGGGAAACATTATAGAATTTTCTTGTTGTTTGAGCTTTCTCTTCGTCAGTCGAAGGCATTTTAATATAATGTTGCGCCAATGAGGCTATTGCTCTTGTAACTCGTGCAATAATCCTGGAGGCAGTTGACTTGTGTATACCTCCAAAATCACCTGCTACAATTATCATAGAACCAGAGGCATAAAAACGGAGTGTTAACAGTAGTTGCGTTAGAGCATCAACCGCTTCATTTCTGTAACATCGAAAGATTCATATAACTCAGAAATTCTCAGAACAAACTTCTACCTGTCTGTTAAATAAGATATTTGTTCTTCAATTTGTTCTAAGATTGCCAAAATACAATCCTTGGACAGTCGAAACCTGTCCAAAAAGGCCTCGTCGTCCCATTCTTCAAAATGATTTTTTCGTTGTCTAAACTGTTTACGGCGACGGGGTCTTTCAACAAAATTAATTATTTCCTCATCATCCGACATTAATTCCTCAAATATATCAAATATTTCATTCATATTAACTTGATATTCAGTAGTTGTAGTTACCAATTAACATAACCTTACACAAAATGTAAACAATGTTCGTGCGTGTGCCGTTTTTTTGTCAAACTGCAGTTTTCTATGTTTTACCGTAAGGTAAGGTGCCAGTAAAGATTTAACTGCAGATTTCTCTATTACCGTTGATTGTACAACAGCAGAAACCTAAAATCTACAGTTTAATCTACAAACTTAAGTTTTAACTGACATTGTACAACTGGCCCTTAGGGAATGTCTGATTTTTATAAAATAAGTACCATCGTATCTCTACGTCCTCACTCAATTCAAATTCCACTTATCATCTCAACAACGTGCGTCTTTTAACTTAATACAATCTCAACGATTAAAAAATAACTGAAAATACAATGGTGGTTTTTATATGTACTGAATGTTCCATCACTTACAATGTAGAGAGTAAAAAATAATTAATTTTGCAATTACAATTAATGCTAGTTACTAAAATAATGAAGCTACTTTATCCTTTTGGGTAAGAGCAATGGATACAAAATTATAGTACGTATTACAACATTTTGTCGCCATTTGAAATTCACCTCGGTTTTTCCCTACCAAGGATGTGTAGTATTCATACAGCCGAACAGTTCGCTTATGGCAGGCCTCTTAAGCATATAATGAGGGTAATAACAAAAGATAGTCTCATTCACACAGATTCCATTAGTGCAATTATGAGTAGTATAAAACAGTTTAAACCAAGAAATCTACTTAGCTCGGAAATCCAACAGAATTATCTAAGAGTCACCGCAAAGTCACATTTATATGGGTCCCTTCCCATATAGGTATAGAGGGAAATGAAAGCGCTGACTCTGTCGCTAGGGGACGCGACAACTAACTGGAGAGTCCCACAACATGATCCTAGCCGGGATATCAAAATAAAAGTTCGAAGGTCCATGTTGGGGAGAGATTCCAAAGGTATGGATCAACATAATAACAACAAACTCCGACGCGTAAAAGCAAAAGTCGATCAATGGCCTGCTATCGGAACAAGACGAGAGGAGATTTTTCTTACCAGAGCGCGAATTGGCCACTCTAGAGTCACTCACTCCCACCTGTTCCAAAAAGCCGCACCAGATATCTGTGACCTATGCGACACTGAAATCACCGTTTCCCATTTATTGTTAGAATGCACGAGGTACCAGAATGTAAAAAGAGCGTTACGGGTGCCACTCACACTGGAAGAAGCACTGTCTCCAAATAACCAGAAAACTATCCTCCTGTTCGCTAGAATTACTAGAATGGACAAAGAATTCTGATGAACGTCGTTTATTTGTGGTTTTCAAAACTGAACTAGTACATGTATTTCTTCCCTAGGTTTTTCCTCTGTTTCTTACCTTTTGTTACTACCTGTTTTCTCCTATCCGAGGTCTTATCTTGTGTGTGTTCAAGTAAACCGTCTTCACAGACCCGAAGACGTGAATATATGTGCAACTTGTTCTTATCTTATTTCTTCTTACTATAATTCCGAAGTAGTACACTCGTTTTGCGATTAGTGACAACGATCAAAGGAGGGTGTAGCACTAATAACCCAGTAGTTGATGAGCTGCACCTTTAAAAAAAAAAAAAATTACAACATTTTGATTTTGTCCATAGCGCACTTACCTCCAACGTAAAGTTGGGAGAGCAGATTTTGAAAATCTTGGCTTGAGCACAAATATGCACTATGTGGCGGTATCCTTCCAGCACGACATTAGAGGTCCAGATATAATTGTAGTAATGTTGTGACAGGTGCTCCTTTTGGCTCTAAAAGCCCATATCTGCCGTTTTCATACATTACACTGGAAGTATTCGAAATAAGGGTTCAAAAATTCTGTCTATGTACGGTATTGATTGGGGAGGTGTGTAAATATGTTTCGATTGTGTATAATAAGCAAAATAAATGTAAGCTGTTCAGAGAGGAGAATATACGAGCTATTTTGTACTGAGCTTAGGAACACCTGTAAATTTCCCGCAGACGATCTTTGAAAGGCAGAATTGTAAAATACGTTATGAATACCACATTGGAAATGATCCAGTTGGGTTTCCCAAGTGACTAATCCTATTTGCAGTATCAACCTTTGATTATAGACTTTTCCCTTTTCAGAAACGTAGTTTTCTTATTCAGTTTATTATCGTAGCATTACGTGATTAAAAATTGCGCTAAGTACTTTCTCAATTACCGATTGCCCTGAAACGGATCGTTCATTATTAGGTAGTGCTTCGCACCACTTTTGATAATTCGGAATTAGATATTTGTTACACTAATAGAATTGCACCCGCTCAATTTAGCAGCCTTATATGTGAATATGCACCGTTTAATTAATGCTAAAAGCGAACACTGCGACTATGATTTGCAATTAATAAATTTTAATTATCCGCATTGTTTTGCAGTAGGTATATGACTCGCATAACCAACAATGCCTTAAATAAAAATAGTTAAATTTTGGCTTTGTTCGGGCAGCCTCTGGCCACCGTATCGCCTATTAGTAAAAATTTCAAGTTATTCAATCATTGTTCCGAGGACAATGGAGCTCATATGTATGTACAAACTGAACATTTCCCTCTATAGGTAGATGCTAGGTACCTATATACATTAATTAACTATAGGCAATGCTAATTAAAGTGAGTTATTCGCGAACATTTCGTTACTTCCGTGTATTAGCTAAAACAAAAACTTTATTTCGCTTCAGGCTTCGCGCATTAATTAGTAATACCAAGAAGCACATGGAAATATTATACACCAATTATTATTACTATCTTCAATTAACAACGTATTTTATAACTTTGCGAACGAGGAATTGTAATTCATGTAATTTTAGTAATTAAGACGGAAATATAAAGGATTGAACAGGTGTAGTTTTATGTCCGGTGTGTAGGGTACGAGATCTGAACGGTGACCGATTTTATGGACGCATCGGTTCCTATGGGAATGTATTAATTTTCGTTTCAGTAAAATATTTTATGTCTTCGTTGGAGTTTTAAACCGACGGTATGTAAGTTTTATATGACCAATTTGACAGTTGTAAATTTAATTAAGGAATTCAGTTATGTTTAATTGATTTCGCGCCTGCGCATTCGCAGTTTAAGTTACTCCCGAATTCTCCTTATAAAACATTCTCTAGATGAATATTCTGTAATTTTCATGATTTATTTATTCTCCCTAAACAACTTCGACTTTATCTGGTTGATTGCGGTCAAAGAAATATGTGTCACATCACCGTATTCATTTTGTAAGGGCTTTTGTTTTTTAATTATTTGAGGAGTCTAGATAGCAGCGATCGGGAGCAAATTCAATCTTGTTTAATGTAGATATAGTATTACACTTCTTAGCTCATCATGAGATTAACTCGTACCCTGGAACTTGGTGAAGTAGGTATAGGTTTTGAATTGAGTGGGATCTTCGACAGCCGTTAGGAATTGGTAGTACAGAAAATACTAACCAATTTTTCAGATTGTAACCGACCAGTACGGTCCTCTAGAGCGTTTTTGTCGTTGGGGTAACATTGTATTAAAAACGACCGATTTCAGTTCAACCGTTTTAACCGAGAAACGTAATTTCCAAAATTTACGAAGGAATTCTACGGAAGTAAGTTTGTGTTTGATAAAGTGCAAGACATTGGTTATCTAACCAAAAATTAAAAGTTTGATTAAATTCGTGCCATAATTAAAAAATTATCGCATCAAATAAAAGGATGATCCGAGTTCGAGTGGCGCGATCGAAAAAAAACTTAACCCGAAGTTAATATCCTGCAAGAAGCATTTCCTGGCGACAGACTAAAAATACATGCATTATTCTTGTGAAGGAATATTTTTGGATTACTAAGAATTTAAGTATATGGTGTAAAAACGAAACTTTCCCTGATAAAAGCTCAATAGGGTTATCTACAAAGTTTATGACTGTATTCACTAAGTTCTGTGCTAGTTAAAAAGTTGCAACCAGTAAAGAAACTTTCCTGGCCAGTAAGAAGAGTAACACCCCCCAACGTTCCGTTATTTTCAAAATTTTACTCTGAGTCTACAATTTTAAGGCAACCGTTTGATCACCATCAATCCAGTCGACATCTGATTCATTCCAAGAAACAGTAACAAAAAAGGTATTGTGACTATTTAAATTGTTCTTCGGTTTGTTCCGTAAAGCAAATTGCGAAAAATAAAAAAATATGTTTCATTGTTACAATTTAAATAATAAAAAACGTCCTTATAAAAAAGCCTGAGATCTTAATGGTAACAACTGTTTATTTCACTGTTAGAAAGTAAACAGGGTTATGAATCAGAAAGTGTTAGAAAACGTGACCACGGATTCAAAAAGAGTTAGATTTGGAGAATTAATCTTAAGTAAAAAATGAAATGGAGCTGGATTGCATTTGCAATATATTTATACAATATATTACATGAATATCACGTTGGAATTCTAGGAAAAATTGTAACACAAATGATTATTTTTGCAGTATAGTGTGAGAAGCATACAGGGTGGCCCAACGAAACCGAAACGGACTGAATAACTCGTAAGCAAATAGTTTTTGAGACAAAAGCAAAAACACGTCGATTTGGGTTGTAAGGGCGACATCTTTTACTTCAAAATTTACACCCCTTAAACAGGGTTGCCGCCCTAAAATGAACGTTGGGTCGCGTGACATCATTGGAAAGGGCTCTTAATTTCCTACATACGCATATGGTTTATTTTTCAAATTTGAGCGAGTCGTTTCTAGGATACTGGGTGTCAAGTCACAATCTATTATGGTTCATAATAGGGATAAATAAGGATTCGAATTGTAAGGGTTTTAAGGATTCTAGGGATTCTAAGCACTCTAAGGATTCTAAGAATTCTACTGATTGTAAGGATTCTACGGATTCTAAGCATACTAAGGATACTAAAGAATAAAGATCTTAAGATTCTAAGGTTTTTAAGGAATCTAAAAAAAATTATAAAATTTCTAAGGATTCTGAGGATTCTGGAGATTCTAAGGAATGTAAATATTCTAAGAATTCTCAGGAATTTGATGATTCTAAGGATTCTGCAAATTTTTTTTCAAAATGGCGGCCAACAATTGTAGATTTTACTAATAAAAATGGTCCCGTAAATAAACATCAAATTAGAACAGATTTTAGTAAAACTATCAAACGGTGAATTAGAGACGGATCAGATGAATGGCCATTTTCAGTCAATGGTCGCATACAATATTTCATAGCTGACCTTCATGCAACTGATTATGTGTACCATCAGTCATGT